TTTATTACGTATCCATCGTATATTCTTTTAATATTCGATAAAATCTAAATATTATGTATGAGGAGATCTCACAACGAAAGGGACCCAAGTATCGTCCGATTTTGACGAGCTTTTAATATGTTATTATCTAGACAAAATCAAGAATTAAGCTACCGCATATTCGTCATACGCACTTTTAAGGGGTTTCAGCCCCTGTAGAAAAACATGTTGAACCAAAGTTGAATGGCTTTAAGAGTACTTTATAATTATAATTTAAAATAATTTTTTTATTTATTATTTTTTTGTTTACCCCCACCAAATTCTTTTTTAATTTTTCAAATTTTTTTTACCAAATTAAAGGGTATTTTAAGATGAATTTAACCATGCGTGATAAATTTATTTTCCGAAATATCATTTTCAAGTTACGTTTTTTATTTATTGCAAATATGTTGTAACTTTTGAACGGTTCAACTACAAACGACGGAAAAGTCACTACAGACAACTACAAACAAAATACTAACTTTTTTTATTGTAAATTTATTTTAGTAAAAGTCGGGTGCTAAGTTCACGTAAGTGAATTGAACGTATACGAGTACGGATGGTGTGCGTATAGAGGCGTTTACAATTATTTCTAAAAAATAATACTTCGGAAAATAACTTTATTACACATGGTTAAATTCGTCTTAAAATAACCTTTAATTTGATAAAAAAATTTTAAAAATTAAAAAAAATTTTGGTGATGGGGGTAAACAAAAAATTAAACAATAAAAAAATTATTTTAAATTATAATTATAAAGTACTCTTAAAACCATTTAACTTTGGTTCAAACATTTTTTTCTATCTCTCGTAGTTTCGCATATTTGCATTGAAATTAAAAAAACGATTTTTTTCTAAAGAATGTTTCGCCCTTTAAAAGTGCGAAAAGGCACAAATATGCGGTAGCTTAATTCTTGATTTTGTGTGAAGAATAACATATTAAAATTTAATAAGACTTTATCATAAAATAGTTATTAACTTTAATTATGTGTCAACAAAATTGAAATAAAAAATTGCTTGTAACAAAGTTATGTAAAGCATACAATTACATCTACCTGATGGAATTATACAACTCATATAAACTAGAAACTGATATTTTACATCCAAACGATTGTTATCTGAAGGATTGTTGAATAAGAAAATACAATACAAGAGAGGTCTACTATATGCGTAATGCGTTTTAAATTATATTTCATGTAGCGATTATTATAAGTTTGAAGATTTTGTTTGTAATTTACCATTGAAAATTACCATCCATCTAGGGTTAAAACGTCCATGAAATTAATGTATATATATTTATTTATTTGTGTTATTGGTTTAATATATATATCTATTTGCAATATTATTTGGCTTTGGCTCTGTAGCTCTCCTTTTATTTGGTTGAAAATTTAAATAACTCAGTGACTTATTTTACAGATGCAAAATAAATACAAAACTAAACATTAAATAAACATTAAATAAACGTTGCAAAAATGTTTACTAAAATCATTTTGTTAAATGAAAAATTAATGAAGGATACATATTGAAAAATTATTAAATAAATGTTACACAAATATGTACTGAAATTATTTTCTTAAATGTAAAATTAATGACAAATAAATATTTACAAAATATTAAATAAACGTTTAAAAATGTATAATAAAATCATTTTCTTAAATGTAAAATTAATAACAAATAAATATTTAGAAAATATTAAATAAACGTTTAAAAAATGTTTTGTAGAAATCATTATTTTAAATGAATATTAAATGAAAAAAAATATATTAAATAAATGTTAAATAAATTTTTCCGAACATAAGTTTATAATAATTAATGAAAAAAGAACATAAAAAACATTTTAAAAATATTGTGTGCTGATTGGGACGTTATGGATCATAGTACAATCAGTATGAAAATGGAATATTTGCAGGATATTATGTGCTGTTAGGGTTAATCAACTTTCATTTTATTGAAAAGATAACCATTAAAAGATGACGAAAAAACATCTTTTTTAAGTTGTCTTTTTGGCAATACGAAAAGATATCTTTTCGTTTAGTCAAAAAGAAATATAATTGTAAGTGTATACCATATACATAATACTTGTAAATGTACACATTACATATCTTTACTATATCTATATACATATACTGTAAAAATATACATATACATAATACTTGTTTTTTTCATTTGGATTATACATATAAGACAAAAAATTTAAGCTGTTTTTTTTTCAAAATCATGTTTTCAAAATCATAAAAAATTGTTTGGAAAAAATGCCTTGACCAATTAAATTGAAACCATGCACAATTATTATCAACACATTTTTGTAGTTTGTGAAGCCATAATTTGTTTATATTTATCATTTAACTCTTTTTTATGAAGATATAATGTTTGAATGAAAATCAAAACATTATATAATCTTCATTTTATTGCCATTTAAATTTCAATATTTTAATTGAAATATTGGTTCAGTAATTGCGTATTCCAATGTCGAAACTGATAAAAAAGAAATATTAAAATATTTTAATTACAGAACCGCCGAGAACTTTCCGCGATTTTTATAATTTATATATAGTTTTCTCAATGTGCCAAATTCAATAAACCAGAAGAAAAGAATAAAAGGAGGAGGTTATTTTTAACTCTGCAACAATTATTAGACAAAAGTTCTTATTAAAATAAATAAAAAGTTTTATGCTAATCAATTGTATAGTTTCTTTATATAATCCATTATCAAAAACAATAAATTTTTAGGCCTTTGAATGAGAAAAACCTCTTAAGATCAATCTTCGCATAAAGGATTGCATTGTATAATTGTATATTCTTTTTAACTGAACTGGTTACACTAACTTAGTTTCGAGTTTGTCTTTCTTCTTCCAATCATGTAGAAAGAGATCGATAAATTGTGAACTAGTGCAGCTAATTTGGCTAAAAAGAATAGGCCTACAATCATGGTAGAAAATACAAGGGTATGCTCGTCTGGTGGTAGACCACTGTGCAGACATCAAGCATATACCCACACATGACGTCACATTCGGAACTGGACAGACAGAGAGGACAAAATATCACGTGGTATCACTCGTATACCTTTTTCTCTCGCATATTTCTTGCCACTGTTGGACACACTTGCGGTCTACAGAGAATAAAGGCATTCCACTTCCATGTTGTACTATATACTCAAAGGTTATGTACCAAAATTCATTTTCAGTGTTAAAAATCTATAATGCACGTAACGTAAACTATAGATTTTTAATACTGGCAGTGAATTTTAGAATATAGCTGAGCATGCTTGAAATAATACGTTTAAATTTATCACGTAACGATGACGTATTCTTTATAGTGACAATTTGATTGGCCGCTCGGCATCAACATGCGCAAGAACTTTTGTATTTCTACCATGCCTACAGTTAAATCTATTTTTTTTACACGGAAATGATTTATGATAAGCAATTGTTTTTTTCACCGAAATGGAGTTAAAATTATGGTAATGTGACATATATGTGCGAATACGTTAAGTAAAATTTCTAAATTTACAAGTAAAAAAATGCCACTAAAAAAGGAGCGCAGAAGAGGCAAGACTGCTGAAAGTGAAAAGAAAGCGTTAGAGACAAGGGGCACTGTAACATGTCACCCTATCAGTATGCATTCATTAAATCTAATTTAAATAAAGATTGTGTATATATGGAGATAAAGATAAACGTAAATTTTATAATATTTCAATAAAACAGTAAGTCTTATCATAGAAAATTCAAAATACTTATGATGAAAAGTCTTATGATAAAAAATATGTGCATATTAATATATTAAACAATTAATAGTATTCGTCATAGCCTTAATTGCTTCTTGGCGTATTCAAAAATCATTCTATAAAGAATTTATAATCATCAATCTATTCTGCAGCTCCAGGACCTAAATATCAAATTAAAACACTTGTCGGCTATAAGGATCATTGTATTTCAAGATATCGAAATCCAGCATTTACATTCGGTGGTCGTCCTGTCGTCTTCGAAGTGACAGAAAGTCCAGGACCAAAATATATAATCGAGGAACGTAGACCTAAGGGATTTACTTTTGGATATAGAGTAAAGCGTCGTGGTAAAAAGATTTTCTTGTTGAAGCCAGATCATCCCCCTATAGCACGAAATTATTATTATCATAACATTAGAAGAATATTATTTTGTAGGATTAAAATATTTTATAAAATATTTTTGATAGCAACAATATTTCGCTACTTATATTCTTTATGATATTAACAACAATATTCGCTACTTATATCTATTCTTAAAATTTTATAATATTTTATAATATTATAAAATATTATAAAATATCATAAAATCTATTTCATAACATTCTTGAAAAGAATTTCTTCTAAAATATTTAGAAAAAAATATTATAGACATTTCTGAAACAATATTCAAAGATTATTGTAGAAAGTTGTCTATTATCATATTATGTGATACTAATCTTTAGACTTCAAAAATTCGAAAAACATTGTAAAGATATTCAAAATCTTTAAGACATAAAAAATTATATTTAATATACAAAAAAATCAATACACAAAACTTATAAAATTTAAACAAATATACATTATTTGATAAATAAAAACATTACTTTAAAATAAAAATGTTACTCTATTTTCTACATTTTTGCGACATAAAAAATTATAATTAATATAAAAATCAATACTTAAAACTTGAACAAATACATAAAATTTAAACAAATATATATTATTTAATAAATATAAAAACACTCTAAAATAAAAATGTTACTATATTTATTATAATGTAACTATATTTTCTAGTTGTTTTAGTATTTTTAATTATAATTAATTCATATTTTATTTTATTTTAATCTTAATTATAATAATATTTAATTATAATTAATTCAAATTATACTTATTGATTTTGTTAGGTAATTTTAATAATTTTATGTATAATTAATAACCTAATTTATTAATTTGCAGAATATATATAATAGATAAATATATAATGTTTTTGGAATATTATAATATATGCGATGGATTTATGTAGTAATATCTTGCAATATATCTACAAGATAAATATTATAATACTATAATATTTTTACAAATTCTTGTAATATTTTCCAAATAATACGCAGTGTCACAGTAATGTCAAATTGAAGTAAAATTTAATGAATTTTTTTCATCAAGTCTTGATCAAGATGACATCCCGATTTTATTGTGATAATCGAGTGTTTTACTTGAATTGTAAATGTATCGCACCATTAAAGTTCTTGCTATCTTTTAGCAATATTTCGTGCTGTAGGAATTGTTATTTATTATTTGCATATTCTTATTCTCTTTTGTACTTGACAGATATCGTATTCGGTCCTGGTCCGAAGTATATGTTGCCAGATGTCCCTCGCGGTCCTTTCTTTTCGATCAAATGGAGAACTAAATTGAAGAAAACTAGTGAAACGCCAGGACCTTATTACATCAAGCCTATCGCTAAGGCGCCAGCGTTTTCCATGTACATTTAAATTATTTTGTGATTTTTGCTTGTTCGTTCTAAAGTGATTATATATGATATTATATATGATATTTGTAGGGGACTGCGCACAGTTTCGGAGAAACCTGTAATTAGTGCAGGTCCTTACAGCTCGTACAACTTGGATGCAGTAAAACCAAGAGCACCAATGTATACTATCGTTACTCGGCGTGCATTACATTTGATTTCCGAAGGCCCAGGTCCGATATACGCCATCCCACAACCCAAACCGACTCCCGCCTTTTCGTTCGGTGTAAAACACAGCGAATGTGCACCACCTTATATAACTAAATGCGATGAACAGTGTTAATAAAGTGCTGATAAAGAAAGAACTTGTTTGTACCGAGTTATTAGATTCATCACGTCCATTTTGAATTAATAGATTAATATTAATCGTTAACAAATTGAACTAAATTCTTTTATATGTATTCATAGTTACTCGCTATTGATATGAATTTTTTATTTTAATAATGGATTCAATATTAAATTAGGTGAATCCAATTGTCCTTTGCAAAAAGCACGAGTTAATTCTCTTCGGTGGAGTAACTGATCAACTTCCAGTACTCTTATAAGTTCCACTGCAATTGTTATTATTTTAACAGTGCTTTAATTTTTTTGAATTTTTTCTGTGATTTGTGCCGCAAATTATCTTGCTGGAACAGAATAGAAAATTCATCCCTGGCGGAAAAATTTCTACAAATTTAAAAAAAAAATTAAAATATTCTACGAAAAACTACAGAAAATAACTGAGAAAATCTATGGAATTTTACACGATTTTAAAAATACTACAAAAATCTACATAAA